GCTGATGTCATTTATGTTGCTATTTGTGGCGGTTGCTTTGCTATTTTGACTGGACTAATATGTTGAAACGATGTGATCATAATGATATTTGTAACAAGTGTCAGTCCTTATGTTCCTGTTCCAGATCGCTAGACCAAGAGGCCAACTATCTTACATTTACATCGCCTTGTCCACGTACAAATTAAACTAACGCAATTTCACAAAGCGAGGATATCACAAGTAACACTGAAGGTCTAGAGTATATGTAGGCATTTTAAAGTTGGATATAACTATATGTATTGGAGGCAAGAAGTAGCTTTGAAATGTTGTGTAGGTATATTAAAAAAGTTGTTATCCATAATACTCCTTGTCATATTACTGTAGGACGAAGCTACAGGAAGAGAGTTTTTGAGGATCCCTTTGTGCAACGGAAACCAGGTTCTGTGAAATTAAGTACTCGGTTGGGATTCTGGGGCAGAATGGATCCCCTGTACCCTGCTCGAACCGACAAATATTGGGGGTTGTATGGTCACTGTGGTCATAGAATACGATACCTAGATAGAGACACAGGCACGCTCCACGATGGATACATGGACGGGGTGTATCGTCGATCTCGCTATCGTCCACCGATTTGTCTGGACCAGACGTTGACTCTGCTGCAATAATGCGGACTAATGCGTGACACACTACCCATTCGCACTCACTGAGGACGTCGCTTGTTCGCCAACATTCGAACATTATAAGATAAAGAGCAATTCATTTATGCCAAGCGATGACAGTACATCCTTATCTGACCCGTGAAAACTCGACTATGCTTGTCGTAATAGACAACTAACGGGATCGGGTGGTCAGGCTCCCTGTCTTGGGTGATGCATGTCATCGTATCCTAATTGTGTGGATAGATGCTCATTATAGGTGCTCACTGGCTTGTCTTGTCCAGACTCAATTATTTACAGACCGTCGTCATATAGCTGGAATAATTCAGTGCGGCGTTAAACAACAAACAAAAACAAAACGCCTGCGTCACTTGGGGCTTCCCCCCCACATTTAGCTCCATATTAAACAAACAAAACAAATAAACAAACATCATTCTCAGGACACACCATTTTCATTCTAAAAACATAATTAGCAACTGGGCTGTTGAAGTATTGGTGCCTAAGACAAGTATACAGTTGAAGAGCTTAGAGCCATAAGGGCCAATGTCATGTGGTGTCTGTTTTGAGAAAAGTGATGAAAAAACATAATATTATGCATGTTAATAAACTTTTCGTTTTACCGATAAATTCCTAGACATTAACGCATTCTGACAGCAGAGATATAAATGTTGTTATAAAAAAAACATTCAAAAAAGGAAATAAGCTTATGTTTTTAATTTGTGTAAGGGTGGAAAGGGCCAATGTCTGTATTTTGGCCCTTTTTGACCCTCCGGCATTTGCATAGGATTTAACATGTGAGATTGATAAACTACTTCTGAAGGTACAAACACATATTACTGAAGTACTTTTAAATGATTTAAACTAATGCCAACTTTGTTGAAATAGTCGAAATATGATAATAAGGTGACAAACTTTCAAAATCTCTCTCAGACAACCAGTCTCAACCACATACTGAAATGAGAGCTAAAAGGGCCAAAATCTAGCAAAGTGACTTTGGCTCTTTTGAAACTTGACTTTGGCCCTTTAATAGAATTTTAAGTAGCTATATTTCAAAAACGCATCAATGAAAACATACAATATTTTTTTTACAGGTAGACAAGAACTCATAGATGTTATTTATGCAATAATATGCAAAAGGGGCCAAAGTGCATTTTGGCCCCTTTTAGCTCTAAGCTCTTGAGTTGTAGTAAAGCATTGAATCACACCGGAGAGTGATTCACTAAACCAGCTAGGCTTCGGCAGAGAGAGGGTCATCCATTCAAACGCTGTCTGTGACGCTAGAGTTAATAGCCCTTCGTTACGGACGATAGAATGAGAAAGGACGGATCATGGTGTGTTAATTGTTCTACAGCGGTTTAGAATATCTACAACAGTTACTTCATTCATTTGTGGGTCATGACTGATCCTTTGTAGTAAACCTTTTCGAATGCACTTAAAACCCATCTTACCTCAGTGGCATGTGACATTCGTCTTGCTGATGGCATGTGCCATTTCCAAAGTGCTGGAGAGCCTTAGCTTCCTGTCAACAAACCAGATATGATAACATAAGATAAGATAATATTTATTGCAGAAACGTTCCATTACGGGACAGATGCAATTTTAAAAGACAAGACATTATGATTCATATATACATATATACAGACATACATAATTTACATTCCTGTAGACACATACAAAAACAAAATAATCAATATTACATATTTGATGATATTTTTATACATAAAATGTCAACGGTTGATTATGATGAAGGGGTATTTATTGTTTGAAATTATAGATATGGAAACAAATGCAGTTGATATTGACTGCTTCATTATTTGACAGGATGTAGTGAAATAATTTATCTTCATGACTGTGGACATTTACATTTACATTTTGTCTGGATAATTTTTCAAAGAGTATATTTCTTTCTTGAGTGTGTTTAATACAGTGAAGTAAGTAATGTTTTTCGTCATCAATGGTTGAATATGTAGAGCATAGCCTCTGATGTAGTGGGGTTGGTGGCTTTGTATGTCTTCCAAGTTCAATATTTAATTTATGGTTACTTAATCTTAGTTTAGAAAAGTGAACTCGATATTTTTTTACTTTACAGTGACTGAGATAGGGTTCTAATTTTATTTCATTTTTAACTATCCTATATGTCCTAAGTTTGTTTCCTGTGCCTCTTTTTGCATTTACATCTTGAAAAGAGGGAGTTGAATTTAGATTTGATTGTCTCTTTGAATATTAGTGATAGGAAAGCTGAAGTACTCAAATTGTGTTTTTCTAAGAATAGATTGAGCTGGTAAACCCATCCTAATCGTTTTTTCACCAAATATGTACTTTCTGTAAAAGCGTTCTGAAGTATTATGTTTTTGGAAGAACATACATGGTGATAAAAATTTGCTATTTTGATTAATACTGTGTAGATAAGAGGGTAGAGTCCTAGTTCTGCTCGGCTTGCCCAGTTGTGTGTTGTTTTGTTGACACCTAATATGGATTTACAAAATTTGAGCTGCAGTTTTTAGGGGATAAATGAATCAAAGTTGTTCAGGAGGATTGATTCTACACCCCAGATTTCACTATTATATAAAATTACTGGCTCGATTAATGTTTTAAATAGTTTGCAAGCAAGAGCTATGGGTATATCTTGGTTAAAAATGGTGGACTGAAGCTTGTGGTAGGCCCCTAGGCCTTTTTTTCAAGAGAGGTTTAGCACTGTTTTTAAGTTTACCATTTGCTTGGAATCGTATTCCTAAATAATTATAACTATCTGTAACTAGTATTTTCGTATCACCCATGGTCCAAGTATTCTTTTCTTCTGTTTTAATTGATTTTCCAAACACTACAACATTTGTTTTATCACTATTAATCTTTAGATTATTTGTGGCACAAAATATCTTTAGTCCATCAAGTAACACTTGTAGTTTTTGGGGGGAATCGGCAAATAGAACTAAATCATCGGCAAACAACAAATGACAAATGTTGAAACCATTGAGTGTTATATTATTGCTATCAGATTTGATGTATGCTGACATCATCGGCCTCTGGGTTATTTCCTGCAAATTCAACACATTACAGGTCATCATCAACTTGTTGGCGGAGTTAACTCAATCTCACATTTGATTAAGATGCTGCCTTGCCAACTTCGAAGGTGAAATACATACTTGTGATGCTTTTTTTAATCCATCGTCGTTACACCAAAAATATAAAACGTCAACCTAGAAGAATATTCATTCTCGATTATCTGCCGAAACAGTCTTCATTTGGCGTAAAAGATCAAGTAGCCGTGACAATGATATGAATGGATCACCAAAATGATGCCAGTTGTTCGGGGGACGGTCGGGTAGCCTAGTGGTTAAAGCGTTCGCTCGTCACGCCGAAGACCCGGGTTCGATTCCCGACATGGGTGCAATGTGTGAAGCCCATTTCTGGTGTCCCCCGCCATGATGTTGTATGAATATTGATAAAAGCGGCATAAAACCATACTCACACACTCACTCACTCGCCAGGTTTTCGGGAAAAGCGTAATACCCGCCAAAAACATTTTGCATAAAAAGTAAGACTTAGAGTTCGTTTGTTGCCTGACGCCGCACATCAGCTAGTATACTCCTGCCACACGACGACAGCCATGTAAAAGAAATCGAGTCTTAACCACTCGATCGAGTGGACCAGACAATCAAGTGAAACGATAGAGTATTTACTGATTATGTTGAAACTTTAAAGTGTCGTAGAGTACACGTGCATATTGTTATGAGGATAGATACAACTAAAACAGACGCTTTCCTAAATTGTGGTATCGGTGGGCGATTAAAATACTTCCTTGCTTGCTGCTGAAACTTGTAGAGTGCTGTAGCTTAGGTTGTGATACATTCCAAGGCAACGCGCTGACATCTACAGTAAAAGTTACGTCCCCGAAACGTAACAGTTGATAAGGATTTACGATGCGTACGGAAATGTAACACGCGTTCTCGAATGTCTCCTAAATAACAATTTTATCTCCCTTCCACAGCTATTTTAATCACATTCGGTATAACGCTCAACAAGTAGTTTGTCTCTAAGGTATAAAATGTCAGGTTTGGTCAACACGTGACCCGTCTCTTATTGTTTACAATACGCACTGGAGAATTTGCCCTAGAAATCGTCGCTGTGGAATGCGAGGAAATCCGGGCTAACACTACTGCATATGCTACAATTAACATTAATATCTACCCTTTATTGAAATGCCTAAGTGACTTTTCATTATCCCACTGAGCCACTCACTCAGAACGTACTTGGAAATGAATTTTGAGAAGTCAAAGCTTTTAAGTGAACTCTGGTTTCACTGCTTGGCTGACCATATTGTATGCAGGGTTTTGCTGCCGCCTTTCAACAGCCTTGGGTATCAACAATTCTCAACTATCAAGCTCCGTTGACAGAGGTATTAATTCACTTTGACGGTCGCCCAGATTCCTGAGACAAACTGTCCAGTAGGAAAGTGTTTATAATTATGTCTGTGTTGAATCTAGGCTTTAACGCATTCGGTCCCGGGGGAAAGTTGTAACTTGTGTTATAGGACGTCCTGCGGAGTGGGTTCACTCTCTCTCGGGTTGTCTACCTGTCGGTGAGCCGGACCTTACTTTGAAGTTAAAGGTACTTTCGCGTGTGGTCAGTCGATGCGTAGAACTGTCCAGTCACCAGCTACAACTGACCGTAGTAGTAGCAGCAGCAACAACAGCCCATCTTATGTTATATATTCATCCTCCAGTGTTATTTGACCGTGACCCTCGCTGACAGTGTCCCACTTTACGCATAAATCACGTCCCGACACTCGTCCAACGCTAGCGAGCTTGCGGGCTTATCTGCCATATACTTATGTATTATATATGAAGCGCGTCGCGGGGCTGTCGCCCAGTGGGGATACGAGACACACACGGACATCAGCTACTGAAGCATCACCCTCTCCTCCATCTACCATCCTGGCAGTATCTGACACTGGATTGTACACGGCTACACACAGATAGAAAGACCTCCACACACGTGAGTGGCTTCAGTTTGATGTAACACTATTCACTCCTGTATTGTTAGTTTCGGATCAGGGCAAGAAAGTGTTCTGTAGCAGTAAATTCACATGTGATTGCTGTTATTGCCATTGAGAAACATTGATACGTTACTATCACGTTCTGATAGGAAAGTCCAGTGGTTCTTGTAATTCTGTGCTCGGTCCTTGTATAAGGTCATGGTTCCAAGGGATTTTCAGTTGATAAAGCGTGTCTCGCATTTGGAACATTAAAAATAATTTCTCTTCTTATCAGACATACTATTGTGAACGACGTATACACATCTTTATGGAACATATCAAGCTGCCCACATTGATTATCACGGCTTAATAGCAGGAAGAAAATTAGGAAGGAAATTTCTTGTAAAACATTTCGCGTTATTTCTGTTATCACATGGCGTACACATCTTTTTGCAACATATCAAGCTGCCCACATTGATTATCACGGCTTAATAGCAGGAAGAAAATTAGGAAGGAAATTTCTTGTAAAACATTTCGCGTTATTTCTGTTATCAGATGACGTACACATCTGTTTTCAACATACCAAGCTGTTCACCTTGAGTATCACATCTTAATAGCAGGAAGAACATTTGGTAATTTCTTGTAAATCCAAACCCTTTGACAAAGTGTTGATGAATATTCTGACCATCCATCGTTGGTTGAGTGTTAAGGACTCACTTGCCTGGGGTATCACGTGCAAGATTAAAGTCGACATTGGAACTTGGAGAATATAACGCAATGTAATATACGTGTTCATCCTTTAAAAAATGAACGTTTGATGGCGCGTGAGCTTACAGCTGTAGGCTTGTTTGTCCAGTCGACAGGTGTTACTGATATGTTGATAACTAGTTTGTAATCTGGTAATATGTGCTGCATATATTTAACGCGCGTTTATATTGTAATAACTTTATACTCCTCTATGTACGCGAGTGTAATACATGCACATCCAAGTAGACTCAAGCAGTGACACAGCAACAGCCCACTACCAACCGTAAACACATACATGAATAGCGTTTGCATTGATGGATACTATAGCAAGGCCGACGAAGATATAAAAATATAACGTGTCAATAAAACCTCAGATGATGATAAACACGTCCATAGTTGTCATCGGTCCCTTCATGTGAGCATTGCAGGGCGATTTTCAGCGTTGATGTTGCGATCCATGAAACCATTCACCCTTAACGTAGGTGTATATTTTTAGATTCCGTCATGCATAGTTTAATAAAATTAATAGCATTATGTGTACCCTTGCTCCAGCACGTAGTGTCTGTAACATTCTCTGCTCCAGCTGTAGTGCCTGTAACATTCTCTGCTCCAGCTGTAGTGCCTGTAACATTCTCTGCTCCAGCTGTAGTGTCTGTAACATTCTCTGCTCCAGCTGTAGTGCCTGTAACATTCTCTGCTCCAGTTGTAGCGTCTGTAACATTCTCTGCTCCAATTGTAGTGTCTGTAACATTCTTTACTCTAGCTTTCGTGTCTATAACATTCTCTACTCTAGGGGACGGTCGGGTAGCCAAGTGGTTAAAGCCTTCGCCCGTCGTGCCGAAGACCCGGGTTCGATTCCCGACATGGGTACAATGTGTGAAGCCCATATCTGGTGTCCCCCGCCCTGATATTGCTGGAATATTGCTAAAAGCGGCGTAAAACCATACTCACTCACTCTCTACTCTAGCTTTCGTGTCTATAACATTCTCTGCTCCAGTTGTAGTGTCTGTAACATTCTCCACTCTTGCTTTCGTGTCTGTAACATTCTCTGCTTCAGTTATTGTGTCTGTAACATTCTCTGCTTCAGTTATTGTCTGTAACATTCTCTGCTTCAGTTTTTGTGTCTGTAACATTCTCTGCTTCAGTTATTGTGTCTGTAACATTCTCTGCTCCAGCTGTAGTGTCTGTAACATTCTCTGCTCCAGCTGTAATGTCTATAGTGTCTATAACATCCTCTGTGCCATCTATACAGTGTGTGAAACATTCTGTACTCCAGCTATAGAGTCTGTAACATTCTCTGCTCCAGCTGTAGTGTATGTAACATTCTCTGCTCCAGTTTTCGTGTCTGTAACATTCTCTGCTCCAGCTGTAGTGTATGGAACATTCTCTGCTCCAGCTGTAGTGTATGGAACATTCTCTGCTCCAGCTGTAGTGTATGTAACATTCTCTGCTCCAGCTGTAGTGCCTGTAACATTCTCTGCTCCAGCTGTTGTGTATGTAACTTTCTCTGCTCCAGTTTTCGTGTCTGTAACATTCTCTGCTCCAGGTTTCGTGTCTGTAACATCCTCTGCTCCAGCTATACAGTTACTTTTCTCCACTTCAACAATAGAGTGTATATGATACATGTTGTTACATACACTATCTGTTGAAATATATGACGTTATTTGAATAACAGCTTTTAGTCAAATCAAGATGTTCATCCTCCGCATTACTTGAATACTTTCAACACTCGAGTACACAAAGCAATTCTTTTGTGCGTCCATATCTGATGAAGACGACATAACTATCTCGTCATCGCCATAGTTTCTGTATCAAAACATTCCACTGACCGTGGTCGGCGATGCAGAAATACAATGTAGGTGACATACTCACGATTTCGGGGCCGACACAAAAGCGCCTGATGTATTCATACACATAATGTAATTGAGAATTCATCTCTTTAATCAGATTATGGGTTGAATGTGCGACCTTGATAGCTTGATTAAATGTGAAAATGTGACTAACGTATTACTCATAATGGTAGACATACACGACAGCTGGTATACGCGGATAGGTATTCAGGCACGAAATTTAGTATACGCAAACGGGTGGACCTGTACACTACCTGGTATTCTTAAACGGGTAGACATACACGACAGCTTGTATACTTCCACACGGGCAAACATACACGATAGCTAGTATGCTCACACGGGTAGACATACTTTCCAGTTAGTAGTCCCACACGTGTAGACGTGCACGCTAGCTGGTACTCCCACACGGGTAGACATGCACGCTAGCTGGTACTCCCACACGGGTAGACGTACACGCTAGCTGGTACTCCCACACGGGTAGACGTACACGCTAGCTGGTACTCCCACACGGGTAGACGTGCACGTTAGCTGGTTCTCCCACACGGGTAGACGTACACGCTAGCTGGTTCTCGCACACGGGTAGACATGCACGCTAGCTGGTACTCCCACACGGGTAGACGTACACGCTAGCTGGTTCTCCCACACGGGTAGACGTGCACGTTAGCTGGTACTCCCACACGGGTAGACGTGCACGCTAGCTAGTTCTCCCACACGGGTAGACATGCACGCTAGCTAGTACTACCACACGGCTAGACATGCACGCTAGCTAGTACTACCACACGGCTAGACATGCACGCTAGCTAGTACTACCACACGGTTGACATACTTTCCAGCTAGTGTACCCAGACTACAGACACGCACAGATATAAATCAGTGAGTGTACCAGATCTGTATCAACGACTTTGACGAGTACGATCAGAGCCACAGATAAACAATGTATTTGCTTAAAATCCCCCCCCCCCCCCCCCCCTAAAAACACACACACAAAAACAAAACAAATAATATATATATATATTTAAAAAAAATAAAAACCCAATTATTTTCAATTAACTTGCGTACAGAAACGCATGCATTGAATGAAAAACTCAAATGTATAAAATCAGCAAGCGATCGCGAATATACCCAATAAGGCTTTTTCAGCATGCGTACAGAGGAGCTAAGTTCCGAAACACAATTACGAGCCAATTTACTTTCCGACTCAATCCTGTATATTTAGAACCGTTATATATATCCAAAACATTTCATTTTTGGTAAATATTGAAATGTTCACTCATGTTGTGGAAAATACCAATAGAGTGATGAATAGATGAGTGAAAAAATATTGGCCACCCAATGAAAAATGTAAAAAAAACAATTAAAATAGAAACCTTCGAGTAAAAACTAAAGTACTCCAAAGGTTATCTCGAACTCTGTACGATTTCATAATGCAACTCATCGTTACTTAGACGTATTGGCTACACGGCAGAAAAAAAACATATGCTTTGATACAAAGAACCTCAAATAATTCAGCAAAAGTGGATGACGTGGATGCAGCTTCTCCTTATCCCGTTGTATTATCTGATTCATAAGTATTCCGTGGATCGATGCTCATGATCACAATCACTGGATTGTCTGGTCCAGACTCGATTATTTTACAGACCGCCGTCATATAGCTGGAATATTGCTGAGTGCGGCGTTAAACAACAAACAAACAATCATAAGTATTCCACATACAGGCGTAGACTTTTAAACATGAAAATAACGTGCATACCATACAATCCCTGCTTGTCAACAGAAACGGGATCCACGTGGACGATGTATACCAAGTCGGCAACAACTATTTGTTATTCCCTTGCACACATGCCCCTTAAGCTTGTCTTCTCTCCCAGACCCTAGTGAACAAATTCAAAATGAATCTAACTAGAAGTGTAGAATGATGTGCAAGTTTAGATTGCCTCAACTCTTAAGCTTTGTTCTTGGTATCCATTTTGATTATATTTTGTATATGGTAGATATATATCATTAAATATGATGTCTTTAACACGAAATGGATAGCGATCTGTGTGTGACTTCATAGACATAGCCTACAGCTAATGTCGTGGGAGGCACGGCAAGGTCAGTTTTATATCTATGTCAATGGAAATGGACACTTAAACCTTCAGTTCCTCGGTCTCCAGGTGTTGGTTAACGCTGGAATGTGACTGATACCACAGACAAACTTAAACTAGTCCTTGCTGAGAGCTTAGCCCGCCAGGTGAGAATCTCCACTGAATCGTGTATTATAGCAAAGGACTGAGTAATTATTAATGGTCGACAGATTCTATGCCTAAGCCAGGATTTAACTGTCGTGAGAATTAACATTATTGACAAGCCACACCCCAGTGTTAAATTCCACGTAGTCGTAGTAAAAAGAGGTTTGTTTTGTCACGGATTTCGGACTTATT